TGGAACCTGCAGTTAATGATTATGTATTTTACCTTGTCAAGTTGTAAAAATTAAGAAAAATGAAAAATAACATAGTTGGGTCATGGGTGTCTGCTTATAGAAGTAAAATTCATACGATTAATTCAGCACGGTAGCAGAGGCAGTATAAATTATATGCTTTAAGACTGTAACTTGTCTATGAGAAACTGTGTATGTATTAGCCTTGATGAAACGACCTTTCCCCTTGCATAATTGTTCTTTTTTCATCGTATTGATTATGGGAACCAAATGACTTTTCCCCTTGCGTCACGTCACATCTAAGTTACTTTGCCTTCGTCCTATTGATAATGGGGACCAAATGATTTTTTACGTAGTGTTTAGCCCCCATTATGTTTTTTGGATAAAGATATATGTACATAAAAAAATCTACTGAATTGTTTACCCCCTCTCACATGCACGCGGGCCCTACGTGAAAAAAAAAATCCCAAGCTATGGTCGCCACCCCCCCCCCCCCCCCATTGTAAGTAGTCGGTAAGGTATTAGGTAAAGAAATTCGGTACATGTAGCATAGTCCATGTTTTCTCCAAATTTTTCTTTCTTAATTCTAATTACATTCTCCAAATAAAATAATATTACACACAAAACTAAAACTTTCCATTATTTTTTAACCACATATTCTCCCATCAATCACTATTCAAAAAATTATAATTTCTTCGAAATGGGGACCAAACACTAGCTTAATCTCACATCTAAATTAAAAACTGTGTCTAATTAGGGATACTTTTAAGTCACGAGTATTTCTCTCATCTCTATCGTTAATGAAAATTGTTCATGTCTTACCGCCAAATCATGATAATATAAATAATATTTCAAGGTAATGATTGTAGAGTTACCTGAGAAAGCCAGTGGAGACTTGAAGAAGAGTGAACAAAATGTAGACTCTTTTTAGGAAACAATCTCCCATAAAAAGAGCCAGGCACACCTGAAATAAAGCACCCTTCTGGCCCAATGTTCTTCTCCGTTTTGAGTTGATTGTAGAACTCCGGAAAAGAGATGAATACGTTATTGAAATCATTACCGGGAAGATCGTTCAATGAAACCCTTAACTCCGGCAATGGAATTCCCTTTTGGTTAATTGTGGCATATATTGTATCTATGATATCAGAAATTACCATTAGAGTGTTAGGTCCAGATGAACATCCCAAATCAGCAATTCCCATGCTATCTGGGAAATTCTTTTCCAGACACTCTTCCACTGCTTCCTGGATTATTACAGTTGCAACTGATATTATCTTCCTCTGCAAATGCATGGAAATGTTTCAAAATACTGTATCAAAAAACCAAACAACAGAGAAAAAGAAGAGCTTTCAAGTTCATCCTCAAATCCGAAAGCTCAACCCTAGATATCGTTTTACTTGATGTAAAAGGTTAAACGTCATAGCATTTTGATTTAAACAGGTGGACATTAATTTAAACTTAAACACAAGGGCAATTAGCACATAACGTCCCCCTTTTATTGTTATTGTGAAAAACGTCTATACCTTTCATTTTTTGACATTTTCACCCTTATTTTTACATTTTATTGAGCAAAAGGTCATTTTCATCCATTTTCTCAATTAAAAATTGTGAAATAACGAAAATACCTTTTCTTTTAAATAAAACAAAAGAAAAAAGAAAAAAACTAATTGCAATCATAGTCCGAATTTTTTTGAAAAGCGCAAATGAGTCACAAATAAATTATTAAAATTGTAATTAGTACATAATGTCCCTATCTTTCACCTTTATTGCAAAAAAAGTCCATACCTTTCATTTTTTTTTGGCATTTTCACCCTTAATAACACATTTGATTGTGCAAATCATCATTTCCATCCATTTTCATCCAATTTCTCAATAAAGAACGGTAAAATAATGAATATACCATCATACTTAAATAATTTTTTTTAATTTCTAATTCTTTAATAATTTATTTGGGACTCGTTTGTACTTTTTAATTTTTTAAATTCTTAAATACATTTAATTGCGATTCGTTTGCACTTTTTATTAAAAAAAAATAATTTTTTAAAATAATTTATTGGGGACTCGTTTGCACTTTTTTTTAAAAAAATTAGGACTATAGTTGCAATTAATTCTTTACTTTTTTTAATTCAAATAGGAGGGTATATTCGTCATCCTAGTATTTTTTATTGAGAAATTGGATGAAAATGGATAGAAATGATGGTTTGCGCTATCAAATTATAATTAAGGGAAAAAATGTCAAAAAAATAAAAGGTAGGGACATTTTTCGTAATAATAGTGAAATGTAGAGACATTNTATCAAATTATAATTAAGGGAAAAAATGTCAAAAAAATAAAAGGTAGGGACATTTTTCGCAATAATAGTGAAATGTAGGGACATTATGTGCTAATTACCCTTTTAATAATTTATTTCGGATACATTTGAGCTTTTCAAAAAAGTTGGGGACTGTGTTTGCAATTAGTTTTTTTCTTTTTCCTTTTGTTTTATTTAAAGGGAAGGGTATTTTCGTTATTTAAAAATTTTTAATTGAGAAAATAGATAAAAATGACATTTTACGCAATGAAAGGTGAAAATAAGGGTTAAAATGTCAAAAAATGAAAGGTAGTAACAGTGAAATGTGTGAACGTTATGTGCTAATTACCCTATACACAATCTTTTTTGTAAATGGGTGGCACCAAAAATATTTCATTTGATGACTTTTTGATGGTATCACTAATATTATGTGGAACTAAACGATTAAACATTTTTAAGTGAGGGAAAAAAGCTAAAATATGTCTTCAAAGGTTCTTTTCCATTTGTTTGACTAAATTGGACGAGATTAAAAACTAATAAACCAAGTTTCCATGGTGCTTATAAAAAAATTGACTTTTATAAAAAAACACTATTTAGAAGTTTTCATCCGGCAAAGTAGGAGAAGTTTCGATTTTCAACTCCGTGGACGTGAAGAACAGAAATGATATTGTCACTTCAATAACTTTTATTTGTTCAAAATATCTATGAAGGAAAAATTCGTTAGTACTTAATCTCTTCATGATAAACAAATATATTTTACAAACTCTACGACACTGCGAATCCAGAATCCCATAGCCTGCAAAAGATAAATTCCTATATATTTATGTCAAAAAAGATGTTGTGCATGCAACCGCACTAGAATCATAGTAAAGATAAATTTAGAATTTTGCTAGCATCAATAATTGAATGTTAGCAAGAAACGGAACCTGCACAATTGAATTCTTGGCATAGCTGGTTTCCCCTTCTCCTTTGTTCATATGAAGAACTTGCATCACTTCCATCTTTCTCTCTCTTTCTTTCT